CCCAGGCTTTTTTCCATTCATCCACATATTCTCCTTTTTTGATCGAAAGGTTAAATATCCAAGTTAATGGCGGACCAACAATGTCCGCGGATATTTTAAGAGCTTTAGCAGGGATGTTATCTAATCCTGTGGATTTTGAAATTTTGAGACTACGCAATTGATATATTACTTCGTCCTCGTTAATGGGTTTGTGCATGGAAAATTGTTGCATAATATATTTCGGGCCGCTAAAATTTGTGACGTAACAAATCTCGGGGGCGCAATTGCCCTACTCTGCAGTCTGGATGATTTGTCCATTATTGCGAAGTTGTTTCCATTATTTGACTTAAAATTGTTACAAACAATTACGAAAAACCACAGTTTTCAAATAATCTATTGTTCAAGAAATACATACTTATGATACAACACGTAAAAGTCGAAATAAAATTCTTGAAACTTTTATCAAAGAGAGTGAGTTTTCGTCCGTTTTCACTACGAACTGCTGAGCTACACACTTCTGTTACAAGTTTTGATTTTTGAGCGTCAAAACCGATAAGGTTAATATCCTGGCTTTCATTTCTGCATACAAAAACTCTGGCTAAAACATTACGTAGAAACGTGACTGAATGGATATTTAAAACGAGTATCTATTTCATGAAATAATGGGCTGTGTTTCAGACACCATAATGGATAATGGAAATGGACCACCCGCCAGCGTGTAATTTGGAATAAGGGCCGGACGGGAAACTATTAAGTATAATTTGGAGTGGCCTTATATAGAAGCTCCGGATTGATAGGGATACAACTACTGAAAAAAACAACTTCAGCATTTCGAGCGAAGGCCCTTTGTTGGGAAGTTGGTAGCAGATGTCCAATACAGTAACAGACGTGAGTTGTAGTTGTTTTACCTATCAATCTTCTTGGTGTGACTTTGTTGCAGTCTCATGTAAACAGATAGTAGAAATTACTTTGTGTTTATATGGACAACTTGAGAAACGAGAGATCTAGCTCGTTTAGGCCAAATAAAAAAAAATACTTGGTTAGCGTCACCGCCCGCCTCTCGATTTCTGCCGCCTCTGAATTTTTTTTAATTTTTTTTTATGTAAATCTCTTCGTTTTACAGCTTAAAAACAGATTAATATTTGAAATTTTTCTCATGCTCAGACCTTCGCGCTATATACTGATCGATAGGAGTGCGTGGGATTGGGTATACAAGGTTCTTATAGCAAAATGGCGGCCTTCGCAACATCAGTACAAAAAATTTCACCGACATGGTGGAAAAACCGCCCCCATCCCCCCAAAAAATACTATTAAAAAATTAAAAAACGAGTAAAAATTAAAAAAAAAAAGCGCCCGCCCGCCTCTGAAAATTTGTGAGAGTGTGACGCTAACCAAGTATTTTTTTTTATTTGGCCTTACTAGAAGGGACGAAAATTTATATGACCGGGCTGGCAGAGTTCCCGGGATGACAGTTTCAAGATGCTGTCATGTTTGTGCCATTAATTTTGATTAATTGGGTCATTGCAGAAAAGATTCACACCCCCACCCGAGGAAATTCCTGCCGTCCAGAGGGGTAGGGGAGAAAAAAAATGTTTCTGATAATAGTACTTGTATATGGACATCTGAACGGGGTAGAGGGGTTAAATTTCCTCTGTGCGGGACGTATATGGATGTTTTATGATATTAGGTGAACAAAGACGTCGCAGATTTCGTCCCGGAACACGAGCGTTGATGGAAATACGTCATTTACAGAAAACAACCCATTTGCTAATACGAAAGATGCCGTTTGTCCGCGTAGTAAGTTTAAACTCGACAATACTTGATGCTTTTGCCATGAGATGTTTATTGAAAACTGCTTTGATTTCATGTAAAACAATGTTAACTTGCCGTTAGAGCTGTCTAAATTTATTTCAATATTTGTATTAGGTCAGAGAGTTGGCAAGAAAATATGCAACAGGACCTGTAGAATTAAGATGGCAGGTCCCTGCTCTTGAATGTATGCAAGAGGTGTGTATATATCATTACCAGAATCAACAGCCCTCGAAAATCGGAAATCTGACCTAGGTTACCTAGGTTGGCATGTCTTGGCATTTTTTAAAAATCTATTTCCATGTCGATCTTGGAGCACTATTAATCACGCATTTACGAATCATTGAAATCGGAATATAACTGGAATGTTACCTCCAGCCAGAAAATTCAAAAGTTGAAGCCAATTTTATCTCCAGATGCGCGAAATTTGATCTTTGAACAGACATTGGTGGGTTCCTGCAAAAGGGGATCGCGTAACATAAATGTCATCAGTCCCACGACTGGATGACTTAAAGTTGTCACAATCCTGTTTTAATGTTTTCGAATCGAATTCTATATTCGAATTCTATAATTCTATAATCGGATTCTATAATCGCTGACTTTTTAACAGCTACAAAAGTTTGCCGACCTGGGAGGTTGATAGGTCGGCATTTAGGTTGGAATTTCCGAATGCCGACCTCGTTTTCAAGGGCTGAATTAATGGTTTATGACAAATCATCATATGCAAGTTAAAGCAATTTTGTATGCCAAAAAATTGGCAGCGTACAATTTCATGGAAATATTTGTAGGGCAACTTTTTAGTCAGTATTAAACACCCGGAATCCCTTGCCAGATTGCAAAAAAAGCCCAAAAAAACTAAACCAGCCAAAATAACTTTCATTGCAAAACAAAGCTAAAATGGAATAATTGTAAGTCAAAATTAAAATTTGTAGGTCAAATATTTTTACAGTAATTCACAATTATTTTCTACAATTTTTTAAAATTCATTACTAACAGTAATTCACAAAAAATTCTTACAGTAATTCACACCCTGCCATATAGTGCCCATACCATACTTATTACCATATATACACTCCTAAAGTATATTTTGTTTTTTCTCTTTTTAGGCTGCAGAGGCATTTTTGGTTCGACTTTTTGAAGATGCGTACCATTCACTGGGGCTTTATTTGTGTATGGGAGGGAGGGGCAGAAAAGTGCTCACCCCCCCTCTTTCACCATATTTTAGTTTGTGGTCCGACTCCTTATAACCTCACTGACACTATTTTGTTTGTGGCTACTAATGTAAGGCATGCACAAATATTCAGGGCAGCATGTCTTCGTCAATATTCAGAGACAATTGTCTTTAGTTTTAGTCGTTTAATTAATTTGTCATCTGTCGTTCCATTTTTTGTAACAGATTTAAATGACTGTATTTTGTTCGTGTGTTTTTTTTCTTTTCCGTTTCGTTTCAAACAGGAATCTATGTGCTATCCATGCGAAACGTGTCACCATCATGCCGAAGGACATCCACTTGGCCCGAAGAATCCGCGGAAGATCCGATGCTGGCTGTCCGTGAACGATATGTAAATTATGTAAATGATTATCTTATACTTACTAATTATTTTAATTCATTGTAGAGGCTTACATATAGGCATGACATTTTAACACCTAAGATTTAAAGGGGCGGTCAAGTCCGTTTTGCGCATGCGCGGAATACTGTACATTATATAGATAGATAATTCAATTGTAAGGGGTTTTGTACAATGGAATTTTAGTTACATTTGTACAAAGTTATTTGAAAGTGAACCTAAGCTGGTGGGTCAGGGGAGGGGTAACAGAATTTAGAAACCTGAAAATATCAGTTAGAACAAGAGAAGCCCAATTAGCCTTTCTCACGATGACGAATATCGATCCGTCATTTTTGGGTGGCATCCAATTCTCATGAACCAATGCAGACAATTAAAATAATGCGAAAAGCAATTCTTCAAAATAAACGAACCAGTTACAAAGCAAATTTACCATCATTCGTCAAAAAATTATAAAAAGTCGCAGTTATGTGGACTTATCTCGCAGACTTCGGCTGAAATGCCACCCAAAAATGGCGGCGTGAGAAAGGCTAATTGAGATTTGCACATATACAGGATTCGTAGCGGTCTTTGAAATCCTTGAAAGTCTTTAAATTTGAATGCATGTCTTTCAAGTCTTTGAAAAGTCTTTGAATTGTGTGAAAAAGCAAAGAAAGTCTTTAATTTAAAAGTCTTTAAATTCTTTAGTGATTATTTGATTATACGATTTCCTAGCTAATAAAATAGATTGATTGAAGCAATATTTTCACAAATATCGACGAAAAAGTCAAAAAGTGCATTTTAGGATGTGATTTGACGGGACTAATTACCTGGCAAAAATTGGTGCTTATACATTGCAATTTTTCGACACTGATTGCTCTCAAAGGTCTTTGAAAAGTCTTTAGGCAGAAAAAATCTTTGAAAGTCTTTGAATTTTTTTGGTCTTGCCTCTTGGAGACTACGAACCCTGATATAGATCACGTCTGATTATATTTCAAAAATTTTGCAAAAGTTTGCTGGCCATACCGTGCTATGTAGCAAAATGTAAGTACGCACTTGGCTGAAAACAAAGAATTACCAGACTGTAATATTGGCATACGTCCGGTATGTAAGTACGCTGTTTATCGCAGTCTGTCTATGTTTATAAATATGGCATTAGCGGAACCGGTCATTATTTATGGCGGGGGTCGCACTCAAGATTGGGCAAGCAAAATTTTGAGTGAGTAGAAGGTTGGGTAAATGAAAAACAAAACAATTCAAGGGTTGGGTAATAAAAAAATTATTGTCATTTCCAAAGCATGACTCACTCAAATATTGAAGACTAAAAAGCAATGTCAACAGTCGTATGTCGATAAAATATGTAAATCAATCAGAGTCACGGCATCTTGATAATTTTCCGATTTTTCAGGAGGCAACCGGTGTCTTCAAAGAAACTACATGTACAGACAATGACATGAAACTTTATAGTCTGCCAAAATTGCACAAGCAGTCATCAAACTCGTGTCACGGAAGTGGTAAAGGACATGTGTGACAACTGAATGGTATCCTCAGTGTAACGTTTTTGGCCAGGGGTGGGTATTTAATTTTTAATTGCTATTTGAGGTTGGGTTAAAAGAAATTTTGAGTTTGTAATGGTTGGATCAGCAACATTTTTAGCAAGAAAAGCATTTCTCTTCGGTGCTACCCCACGCCATAAATAATGACCGGTCTCAAATAATAGTGGCGGACAATCATAAAAATCAATCATGCATGATTTGTTACCCAGACAATTGGCAGAATATGTCACGCCATTCTGACTAATTTCACCCGGAATGGTTCATCTTTTGCTTATACTAAAAGAGTTGATATGTCAGATAGAGGATGTCTGTCCGCTATTATAAAATGTGTCCAAGTTTTCAAAGCTGGCCTAAACAAAACATGCGCGAAACGATCTTGAACGCCACTTTAAATTTACAAGATGGCGACTAAACCATTTTCTGACATATAGTGTCTATATATTTATATATACATAATACATAAAAAATTGATTCGAACAAAATATCTATTCTTGTAAACTAGTCGATGGCATTAATGTAAATAATAGACTTTACAGGTTTTATTTGATTTTTTATATTTTATTAAGATTTATATTACTTAACTTATTCGTGTAATGTTTTGTATAACTGTATAATTTGTTCATCTTTTAAGTTTTATCATATTTTGGATCAATAAAAAAGCTCAGTTTGTGCTAATTGCTTGGTTTAGTCGTTTTCCCGCTTGACTTGACTAACTCTCTGACTCTGTCTCATTAAAATCTCACTAAATTATTTGTGGCTATATAGCTCATAAAAGTAGCCAGTTATAGAACTCCGTTTTCAAATGCCAGAACTCCGTTTTCAAATAGCCTGCGAATACAGACGCCTCACATCGGGCGAAATAGTTTTCAAATGCCAGAACTCCGTTTTCATATGCTAGACACCCTGTCCATGTGCCTTGAAAATCCTGGAAAGTCCTTGAATTGGAAAAAAATCCTGTCCTGGAATTAAAGAATTAATTTCCTTAATTAATCTCCAGCTGTGCCCACATTAATGATTTTTATTAAAATTACTGAATAAAGTGAATTATTTACGGCAAATCCGTGACATTTTCAAATATTTTTCCCTTGAATCAGTACTGAAAAAGGGCCTCAGTTGAAAGTCCTGGAAAAGTCCTAGTGGTGGAAAGTGAATTTCACCTTCACCAAAGGGGTGGATACTCTTGACTTTTTTAGCTTCAACTTTGTTTTCCAGATTTTTCTAGACAGTTTTCTGAGCTAGCCTTTTCAGCTTGCCCAACTTTTTCCCACGAAACGTGAAGTTATAAAATGTGAACTGGGTGTCAACTGCCATTGAGGAAACCGATTTATAGAAATTTAAATTTGTAGAACCAATTAGTGATTAGTATAAAATTACTCCAAGTTTTAAATGACCAAAAAAGGACATGAGGTACTGTGCCAAATTTCTACAGTTATAAACGGAAATAGTAAACGGATATAAAAACGAACAATTCAAGAATATCTTCAAAAAGACAATGGACGCAAAGGACTCATTTTTCCATAATGTGGCTTCCACTTGAAATCCTTTCGGTTTCTTCATAAAGTTAATCAAATTTTTTTTGAAAAACACCTTTCACTTCCAACAATATAACACTTTTAAAGACGCTTTCATAGATTAAGTGCTTAAATATTTGGAAAAGAGTTTGATATAATTTTACAGTGTACTGTAATTCTGTAAAACAAATGAAAATTTTAAACATGTATCGTTTCCTAAAAAACAGAAAAATAACCTACAATTTTCAAAAGTGGAAGCCCTTGACAAACAAAATGGCTTCCTAGCGACTCAAAGCGGAAAGTGACGATGCTTTTATATAATACTTAAGAAATTGCGAAGCAAATGGGTTCACGTTTAAGGTAAGAAATACTCTGTCTGTGTTTGTAAACCTTTCTACATTCCCCTTATTCTTCTTGTATTGTGTACATTTAGACCAGTTCCCGATAAAATTTTTGAATGTCTTATCGAAGTCACAGCTCCGGTGTCAGAGAACGAAGGTACGTTGCGAATTATGATGCAATATGATCCCAAGTTTCCAGACTGATTTGAAAGTTCTTTGTCTCTCTCGCTTCCTTGTTTGTAATGTTTGAAATGTTGATCTTTTAAGCTACACAAATACCGTAAATTCAGTCTAATTTAATTTGTTTTTAAATGACCACAAGGCGAATAAATGAACGTGTTTTTTAAAATGCGTAATTCCGTGAGCTAGTGCGACAGAAATCACATCGGACTTCCGACATATATTTTGATGGAAAGCGATATTTGCTGTACAAACTACAGATATCGAAACTAGTAGAAGTGTTTTGGAGATATAATATATTTGGTTTCAATACTTTGGTTTTATTTATAACATTGTGGCAAATATGATTAGCATTTGTAACATTTATGTTCCATTGTCATTCTCTGTTCTTGCGAGTGCTGAAGTCTCCTGCCGTTTTTGTTATAAATAAATAACTTGTGCCTGCTGTGTGGAATAGTTTGCTGAAAGAATATCAAATCAAAGGACAATTATGTTTTGTAATATATCTATGTACAATATCCATTAAAAGTTTTACAAAATTGACAATTCTTGTGCATAATGTAGGTCATGCTTATACACTCAGACTGCAAAGGCTGTTTTTGATGACATCGTGGGTGTGCAAGCTTGCACACCTCTGTGAACTTTATTCAACTGTCGACTAAAGTTGGTGCTAAATGTTAAAAATTGGCAATGCTATGCCAAAAGTACAAGCTGTGTAGGCATAAATATAGTTAACAAATGTACAGAGTTGTCGGACGAGTGTGCCCTTGCCGTACTCTGCATTCTGGTGTTATATGAAGCCTTTTTTGTGGCGATTTGCAACATGATTTCAGAGTAGACGTAGAGCCATAACATTATCCTGAAGTAGTCACAAGGAAATTGTGAGCATGGTATGCACATGCACACTTCCTGGTACTTTTAACTCTTACAAATCTCACCGAACTGTGACATTGCATCAAAAATTTGAATCACTGTCACTGCCACAAATGTCTACAATGGCGACAACACACTTTTCCATGTTTGCAATTCGAATTTTAAACAGCCAATTGACGTTTTACAGTAATTGATACTCAGGGTTTTTTTCAGGATTTTCTCTTGGGTCCATTTTTGCAGAGAAGATTGAGTTTAGCTGAACAGCTGGGGGTCTGGGGCAGCTGTGGGAGGCTGACTCCTGTACCCAATAAGTGTAGTTGAGACGCAATGTGTTAAAGCAGACACTATAAACTGGTTAAAGATGGCGAATGCATTGTTTTTCTTGTGTTGTGAAATGAATTCCAGCAATTTTTTCCTGATTGTCGGGTTTCCAACTGAAAACTAATTTGCACACGTCACGAATTTAACTCAAACTACTTCATTTTTACTGCACTGAATCTTTTGGTGAGAAGATTGAGTTTCAAAACTCAATTCAAGATTGAGTTTTTGGGGCCGTTTTACGGTCCTAAAAATCCCGGAAAAAAACCCTGATACTGAGAACCTGATTGGCTGTATAGAATTAGAATTGTAAGCATATGGTGCGGTTATAGACGTTTGTGGAAGTGGCGGCAATATAAATTTTTGTACGATGCCACATTTCGGTGAGATCTGTAATATTGTATTTTCACTTCCTCTTCTCCTAATGCCACAAATATTCTTCTTAGGGGAAGTGTAGACTTTTTCTGGAACGACCAATTCAAGTCTTGTTAAAATTGTTTTTAGGTGCAAAATTGATCAGTTTTTTTCCAGATAACTATGAAGATGTGGTAAGTTTATCCTCGACTCTGCAGCCGATCTGTATTCTAATAATTATTAACCATCGAGATTTTGAGGTGTCTCCTTCGATAGAACGAATATTAGATGCATTTCTTGCATGTCTATCGAACTTGGATGCGTTCTTTTAGAATCCTGGCTTAACCCATTGAGCGCCAGGGCTCTTCCCTGGCGCTCAATGGTTTGGCATTAGACAGATTAAAATAATAAAGTAGGGTGCATCAGGGTGCAATGCAACTCAATGGGTTAACTAGACACATGGGCAGTCTGATTAACCCATTAATTGCCAGCGCTCTCCCATTGATGAGTAAAATCATCTGGCGTTAGACGGTGTAAAATAATAAGGTAGGGTGCAATGCAACTTGATGGATTAAAGCCTGATCCGCCCATGCCGTGTATTAAGGTATAAACAGTGACGTAGCCAGCCCGACAATTTAGTTCGCTATGCAAATTCAAATTATTATCATTATTCATTTCTTTAGAAATTGATTGTTTTCACAGTCAATAAACACGAAAATATTTGCATAGCGGGACTAAATCGTCGGACTTGCTACGCTCCTGGGTATAAAGCCATATTAATCCCCCTTTTAAATTACCGATACAAGATTATTTACTCTGTCTAATGCTAGATAACTAATAAAGGAAAAGTTGTAAGCATTAATGAATGATGACCATTGTTTTTTTATGAAGAATATGCTCAAAGATGTTGTTCCAAAGTTCTGTTTCCCCTTTGCACATGATGCGTAAGTACTTGAAGTTCTATTTCATATCAATTTGTCGGTCCTATACTTTAATTGCAAGCAGAAGAAGTAAGATTTCACATTTTATATATTATATGTATATTTCACAGTTTTTCCCAACTTGGCCTTCATGAAATAAACAGTGTTGCTGTGTTTTTGTAGAGAGATGGTTGATGCCGTCCAGCATTTTGCATTTGTCTTGACAGACATCGAAGGCCTTTTTCGCTTTGGGTTTTGTCGTTATCCACCGAAAGCAAAAACATGCCTGTGCATCCTGAGGTGGGTACAATCAGGGCGCTTATATAGGGGGCGGTGAAACGGTTATAGGCGCGCCGATCGATGTGTGATGCAATGAACTGGTAACAAATTTGTTGTGGTTACTATGGCGATGTTGTCTTATATGGCAAGGATAAATATGGCGGGAAAACTGAGATGGAAGTTTTGACTGTTTTGTAGTCAAGTTTTGATGAAGAAATAGATATTGGGGGTAAAATTCCGATGTTATACGATAATTTAGTAGATTCTGCTATTGTATTTTCAGGTAATACTGCCAATATTTTAGAGTTTTTGCTCAACACGCTTGCGAAAGCTTACGAACGGTTGCTTTCGCAAGAAGCATGACGTGAAAGGTTTTTAAAACTCTTCGGATGTACACGTATCGTTCACGTTCGATAGAATACAATTCACAATTAATTTTAGCCACTAGTCGATCTTTTCAGTTGAAAATCAAGAAATGCTCAACTTGAATTTGTATATTTTTAACGAATCCTTACAAGAAGTTGTCTTGGCCAGCCGGTCAAAAAAAATCAAAGTTGGGACGAAACTTTTTCGACTATTGCGCTCAACAAACGTCCGAGCGAGTCGTATTTTGATTCAAAGGCCAAGAAGTAAAATATGTTTACGGCTCAGAATTACTTCAATTGAATGCCTTAAAAGTCGTACAAAATTATTAACATAATAACCAAACATCATGATATGGCCAAAATACAATTGTTGTTTGTTTTTTTGCAGCGAAATAATGGTCTAATTAGGCAAAATTTAACACACAAAAATACCTCACTTTCCAACGCTGTGTATTCAATTGCTCAACTCCGAGTCTTATGAAAACTTTTGGAGATAAGCACATAATTATAATCTTTACCATCAACTGAATTTCGAAGTTTGGACGACTTGATAACATGCCCAAATGCTGTTTTGAAAATTTCCCTTCATTGAAGTCATCAAAAGCCCGATCATTATCCTCAATATTTCTTTCAAAATTCAACTATACAGGCCAAACAAGCATTCGTACGATACACTAGTTACTACTTCGTTGTTACAGTGCAAAAACATCCTCAAGAATTTCGTAGTTAATGAAAAAACAGCAAAAATACAACAGCAGGAAAAATCACGCTCCTTGTCAACTTTTGCCGAAAAGCACGCTCGTGGCAGTCCTTTTCCGCATCACACATCGATCAGCGCGACATCAGCGCGTTTCACCGCCCTCTATATAAGCGCCCTGGGTACAATAGTATATAGTATGTAAGCACCGTACAGTATATGGATGTATGCTGATCATCTTTACTTGTAGCTGAGAGCTATGATGAATTGTGACAGATGTAGCTCAACCTGATCAAGTTTGAAGGCTTTCTAAAGCCACCTCTGGCAGCCACCTTATGACCCAAATTGCCCCAGGGCCCCACCTTAATAGGGCCCAAACTTGAGAGCGAAAGCCTAAAATTGAGTATGTTCTTTAAATTGGTCCGAACATTTTTTAAATTGAGGGCCCCTTACAGTAGCTCCACATGCAGTCTAGCTAAGGTCTAGTTGGGTGACTGATCACTTGGGTCTGGCTTCTTAAAAATAATGATGTTATGGGGCCCTCGGCGACTCTGGACCTACTGTACATCTGATCACGAAGAACAGCTACGGTGGAAACGTCAGTTTTTGGCTAGTCCCAACCCACGTACATCAGCATATACAGTAGGGCTGAGCACTAATTTTGCATGACTCTGTCACCACAAATCATTTTCCATAAACATTTCTGTGTGCGTGCCAGATGACACTAAATTATGCGCGCCCCTCTTGCACACATACAACCTACCTTAACTTGTTAAATTCCTTTCTACTTTATTATATTCAGTGATTTACCAGCATTTGAGATGTTTTATGGTCTTCTCAACACATTGGCTGAACTTGACAACAATGCCAGAAATGAGGTATAAAATAAAATTCATACGTAACATGTCACATTTCAACGATGTTTAGCCCATTGAGTGCCAGTTCTAAGATCCTCTTTATGGGTAAACTTTTCTGGCATTAGGCAGAGTAAAATAATGAAGTTGGGTACATTAGGGTGTATATTGTGTAAAATGACTTGCTATGATCTGACTTATTTAGCGTATTACATCAAAACAATTTCTGGATCTTGTGTTGGAGAGTCAGGTTCCAGAGCCTGGGACCAAGTTTACTGTCAGTGACCCTGGCACAGGCTGGGTAAGTTCATTGCCACCCAATCTCATTCCCGAGTCCGCGATCCTCGGAAAGGAACGTGAGGCTCTGGGATAATCCGTTTCAAGGAGGAATCTGATTGGCCATTGAAATGGAATGCGTAGTTCAATCTTTGGCTTCCGGCAACAGATTATCCCAGAGCCTCGGGTTCCTTCCCGAGGATCGCAGGCTTGGGGAACGAGATTGATTGCCAGCCACAAAACAAGCAAATTGACAATCTTCTGCAAAAGATGTTATCTTCTGTTAAGATGTTATCTTTTGTTATCTTCTGCTAAAAGTTGTTAATCTCCTCATTAACAAGTTAAAATCCTCTAATTAGCAGTAATTAGTAATATAGGGTCCTCTAATTAGCAATTAAAGATAATCTGATTAGTTAGTGAGTAGCAATTAAGATTCTGCAAATTAGAAATTATTAGCAATTGAGAGTAATTTAATTAGTTGTAATTATGAATCCTCCGATTAGTGTTAATGCTAGAAACTCTTTAAAAATCCTCTCATTAACGATTTAGAATCCTCTAATTAACAGTAATTTCCAATCAAGGTTCCTCTAATTAGTTGTCATCAGCATTTTAGGATTGTCTTATTAGTCATCATTAGCAATTCAGAATCCTCTAATTAATAGTAATTAGCTCAATTAAAAATCTAATTAGTAGTGAGTAGCAATTAAGATTCTGCAAATTAGAAATTAGTTGCTATTAAGAGTAATTTAATTGGTTGTAATGGACCATTTGCATTATAAACTAAATTTTGATCTGGACAAGTCTAGACAAAAATTTCATCACAGCTTGAAAGAGCATCACAAAATTAGTAATATTCCAAAGTTTCGTTGCGAAATGTTGTAAAATGCGGATAATATAGCCTTGCGAAGTTTGCCGTTTTTCAGTCATTTTGCATTACGCAAGGGAAATTGACAGCCCAATACCTTTTGGGGCTGTCAATTTCCCGTTTGTAATACAAAATGACTGAAAAATGGTAAACTTCGCAAGGCTATATTATCCGCATTTTACAACATTTCGCAACGAAACTCTGGAATATTACTAATTTTGTGATGCTCTTTCAAGCTGTGATAAAATGTTTGTCTAGACTTGTTTAGATCAAACTTTAGTCTATAATGCAAATGGTCCATTGGTAACTATGAATCATCCAATTAGTAGTTATTAGCAATTACAAATACTCTAATTAGTACTTAATAGTAATTTTTTTCCCAATTAGTGGTGATTATCCTCTATGAATCCTTCAATTAGCATTCATTAACTTGTATCCTAGATGAGGCAGTACAACTATCCTGATCCGGGAAAATTACCTTCAATTCCTGAAAATGTAAGAACTTTTGTTACATTCTTACAGTAAATGAATTTGTAATATAATTATGTTAGTCATTAAATTAATAACATGTCCTCAATTTTTCCCTTAATTTTAGAGAAATCTGACAGATTATTTTTCAGCCGTCAATCCCAACAACATGATTGCATTGTTTGCAAGGTATGCAAATCCTTTGCCAGTGAATTAAGTTGTGTATGATGCATAACTCAGACAGTGGGCTATTTTGGGCATTTTACTGTACAATGTAAATATAGCCCCGTGTAATTTATTGCTGCTTTCTTTATTTCAAGCATGATGTTTGAACGAAGAATTATAGTGACATCAAAAAGACTTAGTTTGGTAAAAGTTTAGTTACTTTAGTTATATTCATTGTTTGCTTGTTCTGCTCTATGTTATAACTACAGTATTTTTCATTGCTTTATTGCATCTTCGCTTTTGGGTGATTCAATAGTTTATGTTAGTTGCGTTATACTGCGCCCAGCACAAAATAATAAAACATTTTATTCCCCATATTTAGCTGACGGCCTGCACGTACAGTGCTTCGTTACTGCTATACCCAATGCACTGGCAACATGTGTTTATACCAGTCATGCCACCAAGTCTATTGGATTACTGTAGGTACGTATCATCGTTTTTTGTAAGGGACCGGTCATAAACTAACTGCTAGAGTGGGCTGGAGTGATTTGGTATGGCCCATGGAAAATCTTTGGGCAGTTTTGATGGGCCGCCAATTTTTCTGTATCTCCACGGTTGGGCCACCAAACAAAAACCCATGTCTATTTCAAAAAATAAAGATATTAATAATAAAAGTAAACAAAATTATCAAATGTAAATGATGTATTGAAGCCCGTACTTTGTTTTATACAACAACGAGAAGTGGTCGAATCGCAGCAAATACAACTAACTGGAAAGCAGCTCAGTATCGTAATTGGTGATGAATGTGTTGGCAAAGCTTGGTGGAATATGTATGTCAATACAGTACCGGTGTACTATATTTACAATGTTCATACCTGCAAGTTTTTTTTATTATAAAAGTGTATTTTCCCAATTTAGATTTGGTGGGTGGGTCATGAAAAAAAACTTGTTAGATTAGACGGGCTTTGAAATTTTTATCTGCATCCGAAGATGGGTCACCAAACTTATTGGCAAAATTTGTGATTTACCTCCAGCCCACCCTAGCAGTTACTTTATGACCAGTCCCTAAGCTGAGTTATCAAAGAAATTTCAGTGTTTTGAAAGGGTTTAAATGTTGAAATTCTTCCTCTTTCAGCGCTCCAATGCCGTTTCTTGTTGGTGTTCATTCCTCGTTGATGGAGGTCAGTTTCTCTCACTTGTTATCATGGCCAGCACTTTCCTTTTGATGGGTAAAATTGTCTGGCGATAGATAGAATGAAATCATAAAGAAAGTCGCGTTAACTTAAAGGGCATATGACTCGAAAATTGACGTTGTTATTTTTTTAGTCTAATTTGAAAGATCATTGAAACTGTAGAGTAACTTCTTAGTGCTGTGCAAACTCCGGTTTTTCATCTCCGGCTCCGGCCGAATTATAGCTCTGAGCTCCAGCTCCGGCCACATCATAAAATATTAAATAAATGTTTTACGATCAGAGAACATTTATTAATATTATTATGAATAACCCTTTTCGCGCTTCCTAATTATCAGATAACATAACTCAAGAAACAAAACAGTGAAAACACTTAACCACGCAGAAAATATCTATATGGAAACCAGCCTCGAAATTTTTTTTGACAGTATTGCAATTTTTATATAGCATGACGCGAGGCATGACGCTAACACTCTCAAACTCCACAGCGCAATTGTTCGCACGCAAACAAAGTACTCTGTCATTTTCAAAAGGTTGATATTTATTTGTTTTGTACTTTTTCGTTATCTACAAGGCATGAATACACAAACTATGTAGCGCTAAGTCAGATGGCTTCATGAAAGCATGACGTTTGTAAGTTGCGATCGTATAATTACAGCTTTTCGACGCTGTTCCTGTGGGCTGTCGCAGTTTGAGTCTATGATGAATTCATTAACAGCAATTGGCAGTTTGCAGTAACTAACAATCGTTTGACATTTGTTTCATTTCAATTGTTTTCTTGTCATTTTGCCGGAGTTGGGAAAATGTAACTCCGGCTTCGGGCTCCGGCATACAAAATTCTGCTCCCGCTCCGGCGTCGGAAAAACCGCCGGAGTTCCGGCAGAACTCCGACTCCGGCAACTCCGGCGCACAGCACTATAACTTCTTCGACAGATTTTTGTTTTCTTGCTTCGTTTTGGAGATATTTCATTTTGTATGATATGGACCAACTTTCTACGTCACTCATGCATAATGACTTACTTCAAAATGTTATATAATTTTGTCACTACACTATCAAATAAATTCGCACAAAATGAATGATGAGCACGAGATTTGTGCACAACAACACCCATGTAGGTTTTCTACTGATTGTGTTTAGTCGTATTAAAGATATACATACAGCTTTTTGGGTTAAATCATTATGCATGTATGTATATCTTTAATACGACTAAACACAATCAGTAGAAAACCTACATGGGTGTTGTTGTGGACAAATCTCGTGCTCATCATTCATTTTGTGCGAATTTATTTGATACTGTAGTGACAAAATTATATAACATTTTGAAGTAAGTCATTATACATATGTGACGTAGAAAGTTGGTCCTTTGCATATCATACAAAATGAAATATCTCCAAAACGAAGCAAGAAAACAAAATGTCGAAGAAGTTACTCTACAGTTTTCAATGATCTTTCAAAACGTCAATTTTCGAGTCATACTCCCTTTAATGTGTTAAAATCACAAAAACTTACTATAAGGACACTTTATAGAAACTAGAAAAATACTCGCTTATATACTTCTGAAAAAAAAACCCTCCTTAACTATTACGAAAAAAGAAGTAGGAATAAAATTAACAGAATATTTCATAATGAAATGTATTGCAGAAAGTACGAGATATGCCCTTGGACGATGTCGTCATATTGGATATTGATAAACAAGAGATCGAGTTGACAGGAGAATGTCTTGATGATGTCGACAATCTGCCACCAGAAGCTGTAAGTATAATAGCTCAGTGTTTATACCACAATACGCAAGGACGGTTTATCCTTTTCAGCGATATTACCATATTGAAGTTAATAAAGTGATACTATAGGAAAATTTGTTGCTTTAGGTTTCAAAGTTAAACAATATTCTAAAGAAGAACACAATTGCTATTGGTGAATACGTGGCTCGAGCTTTTCTCAGTGCTATTGTCATTTTGATTGGCGGATATCGAGACGCATTGAAACTATCTGTAAGTCATGATATTTTCTGTGTTCTTGGGCTAGTATAGACCCATTGCACTGACGTCACAAATCCTTAGAGTGTCCTCCAGATGCTCCCTAACAATATCTGTTCGGGTACAACAACCACATTCAGCGCGAAAATTAACCATTTTAATACAAAATTATTGTAAACTTTTACAAAATTTGCTTTGTTTACTAAAGTTATATTATGCATAGATTGCTAATTTGTCCTCCAGATGCATCGTCACCGGCGCTGTGACGTCATGTGCAATGGGCTAGTATTCTAAAGGTTGTAGGTTCGATTTCCACCGTGGCCAGGTATATTTTTCGAGCGTGCCCGGTGTGCATATACACTCAGAGTAACATCACAAGCATCATATCTGTAAGTCAATAAGACCTTATGCATAATGACGTCACAAGGCTTGATGCCCGCGAGGAATGTTGGTCTTAGCAGTCATCGCCCGGTAAAATTAAACAATTCAAAATGGCCACTATCGAAATTTTCCCGGGCCTACTAATACCAGCATTCCTCGCGGGCATCAAGCCTTGTGACGTCATTATGCGTAAGTCTATTGAAGCTATCTGGTGGGCTTACCCTTACTTGTAGTTACATAGTTACATTACAGGAAATAGTAGTTTTGTTTCTGTGATCCTAAGTTCGTCACAGTCAACGTTTTCTGCGAAATTCCCTAATATTCTTCTTAATCAATTATTTTCTGTGCCTAGCATTGTGCAATGCCCTAAAATTGTCTACCAGCTAAGCCAGACCTGGAATTTTCTGTAGATGCCAGTATCCACTATTATGCCTAATTATAAAAATATTAGCGCAGTCAAGTAATTTTCTGTTTCATTTTGTATTTTCAGAACGACACCATCATCTTTGAACAAGACTTGTAAGTGTTGTATTTATACCTAACATTTGATATATAGATGGGTTTTTGTAAGATGGGATTTCAGAAGGAAAGTCTGTATACATGTTAGACCTTATATATGCCCTCTGCAGCAGGGATCGGCCCTACGATTACTGTGCAGCGCTCTAACCAACCGAGCTACAGAGTCCGTTTGTCGGGCAGTAACCACAACGCCAATGTAAATTTTCTTCATTTTCTAAAGGTTCGTCAGTTCTCGTCCACACATGAAATCATTTCTCGAGAATCTGTTGAAATTACAACTATTTGAACGGGTAAGTGAGATTTTGAAACTCACTAGTTTACAGCTAATATTGTGTTCGTTCATTCTGCGAATTAAAGCAAAAAGCAAATGAGGTCCTCTGGAAGACTTGTCATGACAAATTTGTGAGACATGATTTCTTCATTGCAGAAGTGAATTGGAAAAGTTGATTCGAATAAGCCAATAGCTTGCGATTAGAGGACAATATGAATAATGATCTATTTTAAGTGCACGAAAGCATAGGCGTACCGGGGGGGCGGGGGGGGGGCGGTAGCCCCCCCCCCAGTTTTTTGGGCAGTCGGGCAATATTCGATCAACAGTCGGGCAATTTTGGTTTGCAATAAAAAAAAATGGGACAAATTCTGTAATTTTGACAAATTCTGTGTCTTCTTTGGCAAATTTTGTGATTTTTCGAAAATTTTTGTTATGTTCCGAAAAATATTGGTTGTCCGGAAAATTTTTTTGACCCCTAAAATGGTACACTGACCGAAATTTTTTTGGCGACGGGGGGGGGGAGGTCGCCAAAATAATTTTTCCGGAAAAAAATTTTTGGTACTAGTCGGGCACAATCCCGAAAAGTCGGGCAATTTTCTTTCCGCCCCCCTAATTTTTTCCTTCCGGTACGCCCATGCACGAAAGATTTTCGCGACTACAGAATACTGTTTCACAATGCGATTTGTCAGGCCGATTTGAGATCTACCCAAATTATATTTTAAAAACGCACTGTAGTACACGTTATTTCATATCGTCAGCAACTCCAGTATACAGCGTTTGCACTCATTCCCAAGGGACCAGCTCAACAAAAGCCATGATGGCCATATTCATTATTTGGTGTTTCTTACGATGACGAATATCCGCCATTTTTGGGTGGCATCTAATTTACGTTAACCAATGCAGACAATTAAAACCATGTGTGTGAAAAGCAATTTTTCAAAATAAACTAAACATTTACAAAGCAAATTTACCATCATTCGTCCAAAAAAATTATAAAAGATCGCTGTTATGTGGACTTATCTCGCAGACCTCGGCTGAAAAGTCCCTCAAAAATGGCGGCGTGAGAAAGGCTAATTGGAACACCAACATGGCGGCTGTAGGAACATTGAACAAAACCTGAAATCAACTTTCTTGATTGTGTAGTTTATTCACCACCGTCTTGAACAACTGAACTCTGGCGAAGCAATCGACGATGTTTTTGAAGAACAAGTTGGACTTCAGACTGAAAGTAAGACCACATCAAGGTTTATCAGTTTCTTCTTGGCTAACTTGTTAAGATAGACTTGTTTCCAATATTTCATATTTTATAATGTATTTTAGATGATTCAAAATGGGTTTCTCAATATAAACAATGGATGAAAAACCGCAAGGTATATACCCTCCTGCATTTTTCATGGTGCGAATTAAGAACTTTTTCCGACCTATAATGATTCTCAAAAATTGTAGGCCATGCTAGTTTTGACTTACGAATTTCAATATTGACCGACAAAATTTTTTCTATTATCCAATTTCAGTTTTGTATTGTATTGGAAGGGATTCCGAGTGTTTAAAACTGAATGAAAAGTTAGCCTCAAAAATAAAATGTTTTCATGAAATTGTATAGGCCGCTAATCTTATGGCCCATAGAAAATTTGGAGAAAATCCTTATCTCGAGTCACTTCAATCACACGTGATAATTATACTCCCAGATATTCTCCAAATTTTCTGCTTTGAAATACTGTAGTTGCACGCAATAACCTTAGACACTTCTAGTATAATACTGCCCCATAGGAGAGATTTAAAATTGTAATTGTACCGTTTTTCATTTCATATCACAGAGAGATGGAACTCAACTGCTGAACAGTCTAAGCGGCAAGACTGAAAAGGTACTTTTCATTTGAGTCGACATTTAGCCAAATTTGAGTACTCCCAAAACAATGTGTATATTTTTTCCAAATAGGATATATTATTTTTCCATATATTGTTTCAATAGGACAGTGATTTTTCAACCGTTTTAGCTAAAGCTCTTCATAATCCGTGTTGAATATTTCAGGCTACTTACAAGGCGAAAAAGTTTATTCACTCTGGCGTGAAAAATGTGAAATTACACGGAAAGAATGGTTTCAAAGAAGCTATGAAAGGTATTAAAGAAAAGAAGAAAAATTTTATTGAAAATAATAAAGGAACGGTGAGTGTTATATTAAATTTTACTCTGAGAAAAGCTTGTAGCATTTCATCCTATTTCACTGTTTTAGTCGTTTGTCTTGTTGATATCCCTTGTTAACTCTTGTCTACATTCATTCCAGGAGAAGGACGTTACGTTTTATGACAACAGAACTACTCCAGTTCAGAGATCTAAATCACTTCCAATGACGAAGGCTTTCGCTATTCAACCAAATTCGAAAATTGCAGCTCGACAATCTATTGGTATCGTTTTGGTGAGTAGATTGGTTATTAATTAGCCATCGGTTATTAATCTCGTGTTACTAAGAGGAAACTTAAACTGAACTAACTTTATTTATGTAAACTAACTTTATATATACTGGATAGCTCTATCAGTTCTAAACTGTTCTCCCTAGAGGTCCAGTAAGGATCATCTCTTATTGATCCAGTGTTACTACAGGAGGAACCTAAACTAAACTAACTTTATATATACTGGATAGCTCTATCAGTTCTAAACTGTTCTCCCTAGAGGTCCAGTAAGGATCATCTCATATTGATCCAGTGTTACTACAGACGGGAAACCTAAACTAAACTAAACTAAACTAATTTTATTTACGCTGGATAGCTCTATCAGTTCTAAACTGTTCTCCCTAGAGGTACATTAAGGGCCATCCGTGTTACTACCCGAAGTAAATAAGTTAGTGGCAAAAAAGAGTTATCTTGCAATTGATATCTTGTTTACAATTTTTGAAATTTAACAAGTACAGTAACCAAAAATTTCCTAATTTGTAGCAAAACCGTATAGATTCCCCCCCGTCACCCACGAAAAGTCCTCGCCCCTCAAGAGCACCTCCAAGAGTACCTCCAGATTCCCCCTCCACAACCCCATCTCGGCCGCCTCCCCCTCGGCCAACAAATCCTCCTCCACGACGTCCGTCGCCCCCTCCGCCATATCAATCGCCCCCTTCGCCATATCAATCACCCCCTTCGCCGTATCAATCACCCCCCGTATCTGGGAGCGATGAACTGAAAACACGACCCAGTATGATTCGAAACCCGGGGGACCCTGGCGTGAAAGATCTTATCAATTTTTATGATAGTCAGGTGAGTTTCCTGTTTGATAACCAGGGGTGGAAAAAATAGGCGCTCGCAGAAAATGTTAAACAGCTGCAGGAAATTTGTTTGAATGAAGATTTGCTAAATTTAATGGAAACCTTAACAGCCATGTCCTATGGGCGCAACAACATATGGTTGACAGACATTATACCTTGAATTTAAAACCATGCTCAGCTAGAACACTACAGGGTGTATCAAAAAAAGCGCAATCCTCGACTGAAATGTAAATTGCTAAATAAATAATAGACGAAAACGTTAAAGTTTACATTCATTTTAAAGCGTAGCCATTCAGCTTTCTAACAGTGGGTTGTTTCTTAAATTT